AGTATCATTTAAAAAAGTAAATAAAACTAAACATGTATTAAATAAGTAACAGTACCATGATCAGTGACTCATCTCCGCCTCAGTAAAATACTGTCGTTACATTGCTTCTCTGTCAGAAAGAATTCCATTCTATTGTAATCTGATTTGACTGCCGAGTCAAACTCCAATTCTTCAAACTTAATTTCCAGAGAAAAACATCGTCTCACAGTCATGAAACCAGAGAGACAACAACTGAGCCGTTGTCTCAGCCTTGGTCTTTTCACATGTAAGTTTGCTCCAAAGATAAATCCAAATAAATATCTGTCTTCCTTTACCTGATAAAAACATGACAGCTGCTCAGTGATTCCACAGATAACGAAGAATCAAACCTCTGACCACTCGATCCATTGTTTTTTATCCTGAATGATTCGTGTCGATTGAATTGGACGACGTTGTGAGAACAGGATAAAGGTTTAATCGGCAGACGTTCATACTGGAGACACATGTTAAAGCTATATGCTATCTTCACTGAGTCTGAGACGTTCCCCGAGACAGGACATTTAACATTCCTCACCTGGACTAGGATTTAAAACCCACATACACACACGACACAATGAGGCAGATGATTCGGTCTCTATCTGTAGAGTGGTGTTGCCTCATAACATCAGAGCAGAATCCAAACAGCATGCAGCTAAAAATACACAACACACACACACACACATTACTGAGATGCCTGCTGAGAACTGCTTTAGCCACTTAGGCTAACTTTAGCAAGTCTCTGAAGCAGCAACGTTGCCTGTGAAAGTTGTTCATTATTCAGCTACACTTTGCTGCTCCCAGTCTGGACCTTCAAACTGCAGTTAGGAGGCGTCTTCACGCAGCAACACTTTAAAAATGTAAACATCATGTTCTAGTGTCCACATAGTTTTGGCTACGTAGTGTATTTTAATCCCAATGTAATAAATGAATTTTGTCTGACACACGTACGTCTACCTATACTTGACACTGGTTGGTTTGTAGACGTCTGACGTGGGCGTAGTCTTTCTGTTTGAATGGAGAAAATGAATGAGAAGCTTCACCTGGTTGCCATGGTAACATCATTATGGTATTACTAGCAGCATCAGCCCCTTCAGGCGCAGTACTCCACTACAGTGTACTACAGTACTCCACAATAGTTCAACTGCACCAAATGAACATCCCTGTGGTTCAAACGTTATATCGTCGGAGGTGAAGACTGCAGCTGCTTCCTCTTCGTATTCTTCTTCTATTGTTTAATGCTGTCTCTACTTCCTGTGAATGGTCCAGAAGTCCAAACTATCCAAAAAGGTGTTTTCACATGCTCCTCTCTGAAGGTCCTTGTTCCAGAAGTCAAGTCTTTGTTCTGACTTGCACGTGTTCATAGGCTTTGAAGTCAGAACGAGTTGAAAACATGGACTGACGCTGTGAATGACGTGTCGTGTTTATGTGTTTAAGACATTAAAACAACACAGCAACTCTTTTTACAATATTTAACATAGCAACAAAGAGCGGATAAGAAGTATCACATGTGACAGTCAGATGAATACTTTTAAAAGTTAGTCATGAAAATGGTTAGAGGTTGACGTGAGGAGCTTGTGAAGAAACTTTTTAAGTTAAATTTTACAAGTTCACATTAAAAGCTACTAGTGACAGCTGACTGTATAATTAGGTTAATTTGTTAATCAATAATGACATCATGAGCTCAAGAAGCAAAATTCATGGACATTTTACCAGTCTGGAAGTAATTCTAATTATTCCGACACCTCTTCAATGCAAAATAAATTTTGGTTTGTTGGTCTGGATCGTGAAAGTGCCTTGAATCCCCACACGTGGCTGCAGAGGGCGCTGTTGCTCAGTAAAAGTTACGTGGCATTGCTTTAATTCAATAAACTGCGTTCGCAATAACACACAGGTCACATGACCCTTCAGTGCTCTGGTCATGTACTGTAAACAGGAAGTACTCTGCAGCTGGTTGCTTGGTTATAGAAAATACTACGAACACGGAACAGCTATGGTGATCGTTGACCAAAGTCTCAGTTTCTGTTCGTCCAGACAAAAAAAAACAACGTTTCCAAACTAAATCGAGATCAGCAGCGTTTACACAGGTCTCAAAACTCACTACACGTAGCCATAGCAACCGTGATGAGCTTTAAAACCTTCGTGTATCCGTGTGGGCGGAGCCTGAGTGAAGTAAACAATGAGTTCACGATTTAAAACCTGATTTCAACATGAATGTAAACGTGTTTCAGAGTCACTCTGGTTTTAGGACTTCGGTGTAGTTGGAAAGTATCACGTTACATTACGTCACCACGTTACGTTACATTACGTTAGCGGCAGGATGACTCACCTCTACCGGAGGTAACCGTGAGTCTCGTGGAGGCCACGCGCTGACCCGTTCACACCGTCCCCATCTCCGCGTGCACAGGAAAACAACCGAACAACGAGCAGCGGGCACGCGAGTGGAGCAGCCGTGGTTCCGGTCCTGTCGGTACCGGGACACAGACGGTCAGAGAGCGTGGGGGCGCTGTTGAGCCTCTCTCTCTCACACACACACACACACACATTTAGAAAAGTTCAAACACTCACGGTGATCGTCTCCTCCGATTAACCGGCGGCTCGCTCCCAACTTTTCCCGGTGCTGACGTCACCGCCCCGAGAGTGTAACGGGCGGCGGAGGAAAGTTGCGGCCCGCTGCTCGGTGTGTGACGGGGCGGTGAATCACGGCAGGTCCGGCCGCGAGCTGCTCGGGCACACCCCGGTAAATCCGGTCAGTTGTCGGTCACTTTTCACGGGAGGGAAAAGTTTACCGGGGACGCGCGTGAGACCGGAAAGTATGAACGGAAAACGGGGGGGGGGGAGAGAGGGAGAGAGAGAAAGAGAGAGAGAGAGAGAGAGAGACGCTGGCCCGTGGCCGCACGGCGGGTGTGTGCGTGCGTGCAAATACGGGCGCGTCCCCGTGACGGAGGAGCGCAGCCAGTCAGCCGCAGGGCACGCGCCGCTCGGCCCCGCCCTGCCCGCCGCCCCTCCCATCCGGAGGGGGTCATCTTCAGAGCTGGAACAGAGACAGAGGTCTTTCTCCAAACACTATTCTGTGAACCGTTATTTTTCAACACACACACACACACACACACACACACACACACACACACACACACACACACACAGGTGAAGTAACTAAATACTTTTACTTTACTGTAAGTAGTGTTCTCATGAGTAAATATCTAAAAACTTTCTTTTTTAAATTTTAGTCATGATTTACTTTGTTGTTTACTTCAAATTGATGTGACGTTCACATTCATTTTACTAATTTGTACAGATTCTTCGACACAACGTGAACGTATGTTAAATCTTGGTTCATTTGTTCATCAAGAGTAGTGGTAGTACGTCGTGTTGCTTTCATTCAATAACGAGAGACATTGTGTTGACACAGAAACAAAAAGCACTTGTTATTATTCATCTAAAATTTCTAGGGGTCGTTACTTAAAGCCAACTCATGCACTGATGTAGTGGATCATCTTCTCAAACAGAGACAATCTGCGGTGCTACATCCCCCCCCCCCATCTCAGTGAGGCCTCACTGGAACCAGAGACCAGATGTTAAAGGAACAGTCCATGTGTTGGTTCAGCTGAGGAACCATCTGTGATCACACTGTTCATCCTGGTGTCTGAGAGAGAACATGTGTGGTGTGGACTGTCAGTCACAGTCAGTTCAGCTGCTTTTATTTTGATGGTCTCAATCAATGTGCACGTGTGTGTGTGTGTGTGTGTGTGTGTGTGTGTGTGTGTGTGAAACAAAAGTGGGTGGAGACAGGAAACACCTGGAGGTCAGGAAACACCCAGAAAGAAAAGAGTATTTTCTTAAAACACTCAACATAAATTACTGTCTGTTTCCGTCTTTGACCTTTGACCAGACTCAACAAAAACAACACAACACACAATATGTCAACCCTGTAGCCTTCATCGAGCCTCATTGTGTCTGAGTGACTGTTTGCATTTTTCAGAGAGATGTTTTAGGTCTCACACCCCCGTCGTTGTCCACAGTACCTCTGTGCCGACACTTTGAAACAGCAAAGAGGGGAAACAATAAAAGACATTACTTACACCACATCCAGTTAGTCATAATAAGAGCCCCCGGTGTAAACTCGTCCTAATCACTTGCTGCTGAACCTGTAAATCAGGTTGGTCCAGACCGAGTTCCTTCATCCTTCTTTCTGTAAATAAATTACCAGCGGACGTAACTCGTTCATGGCAGACGTGAGAGGGCGTCGCGGGCCGACCAATCACATTAGATTAAAATGAATGCCAATCATTACCTATACGCTGTAAATAGCATCTGGGGCACAGAGAGCTGTAACAAAAGCAACAAAAAGCTTCACAAATAAAAGACACACAAGTAAAAATAAAAAAATGTAAGCATGAACTTCCATTACAATAATAAACACTAGACTAAGGTAAAGCCAGGGAATGAATTAAGATAAAAGTACGTTTTAAGCTTTGATTCAAAAGAAGCTACTGAATTTAAAATGATTCTGAATGTATTGTTTAAAGCTCCAGTATGTAAGATTGGTGAAAGGGATCTATTGGCAGAAATTCAATGTAGAATAATTCTCATGATGTTTTCACTAGTTCGTTTCATCTAAATTGTATGAATTGTAGTTTTCTTTACCTCAGAAAAGGCCCTTTATATTTGAATACTTTATATTCAAATACTTTATATTTCCATCGAGGGGGTCCTCTCTACGGAGGCAGCCATGTTTTTTTTTACATTAGTCCAGACTGGACAAACTAAACACCTTTGAGTTTTTATGACAATTAAAGTCAACCACAGGTTCTTTTTCATGTTTCAGGAAGGAGAGGGTGAGGTGAGGGGTGTTCAGCTGCAACAAGCAACTTCAACACTAGATATCACTAAATGTTACACACTGAACCTTTAAGATACTGAATTGGCTCATTTTGCAGTTTTAACACAGTTTTTAAGCTGAGTTGTGTTTTGATCAGCTTTATTTATCTTTACTGTTTACATGTCAGTAATCTACAATATATTATCACCAGCCGGGTGGAGTAACACCCTCTACAGGTCAGTGGGGTTATTACAACTGTAATAAATCTGCATATTATGTTTGGCTTAAGTTGCTGAGATCGATGGTTTCCTGTGTCATTTGGTTTACAAACTGGATCTTAACCAGGAAACAAACCACACGTGTTCCCAAGTACAAGACATGAGGATTATTTTTGTGTGAAACTCTGTAAGAACAAACACAAACATGCAGTGGGAGGAGAGAACGTAGAAGACAGTTCCCCTGCGATTTTCACATGAAGAAATTTCTGTTCTACGTGACTGAAGTTTACAGAGCAACACAAACATGTAAACAAAGACGCTTCTCTGGAAAACACTTAAACCATTTACAGTCCATTAAACTGAAAGTTACTACCACACACATCCGATGAAACAAGCCAAACCAACATTACGTTGCTTGTTCTTTCTGGCTCTCACCTATGAGCCCATTGGTTCCTACTGAAGATGAGAACCCTCCTCCTCAACAACGGGTGGATTCTTAACAACATCTGGAACGCAACAACACCTGGATCCTCCTCAAAAACTCTTGAACCCTCTTGAATAATAGATGTCTGCAGAGCTGGAAGTGATTTCACTCAATTTATGCATGAAAGTTGAAATCTGTCTCTTAAAAAGAAATAAATGTGATGATCCTTGACGCTTTGTTCAACGAGGCAGACTGTTTTGATTGGCCGAGCTACAGAGCTGACTGATGAACTTGAAGGTTTTTCAGGTTTCAGTTTTGGTCCTCACAGCTGACCTCTGAGCATGAAGGAAAACCTCTCTCTGTTAAACAGAGAGAGAGAAACGTCCCTCATGTCCTTTCTGAACGTCTTGGCTGAGTAGTAGTACAGCAGAGGGTTGACCACACTGTTAAATGCCGCCATACACAGCGTCAAAACCACTGTCCGCTGCAGCACCACTATGACATTACAGTTCCAGTTGCCCAAAATGGCATGCAGGTGCAGCGGTCGAATCATATGATAGGGCAGAAAGCAGAACAGGAAGGTCACAATCACCATGGAAACCAGGTGCACAGAGCGTTGTCTATTATGCTGCTGGGTGGGCTGGTTGCAACGGAGGCTAGACTTGGCCATCAGGTGACGTATGAGGCTGCTGTAGCAGATGATGATGGTGAAGAAAGGAAGCAGGAAGCCCACAGCCAATCCTACGTAGTTCATGATCAGGAGATGCTCCCAAGAGGTCTGACTGGACGGCTCGAAGCAACTACTATGCCCCGACCTGAGGGAGAGAGACAGAAGAAAGGGAGTAAAATGGGTTGAGTAAAAATCATTGCCTTATTTGATTCTGGAGTCGGAGTCGGCTCACCTGTCTTCTGTCTCTTCGAGCAAGAAGGGAGAAGAGGAAACAGCCACAAACACCCAGATTCCCAGACAGACCAATATGGTTCGAGTGGGTGTGGCCTGAGAGCTGTGAAGGAGGGGCTGGGCCACGGCGAGCCAACGGAACAGGCTCAGTAGAGTGAGGAAGAGGATGCTAAGGGAGGAATAACAACAGTGTGTGTGAACTCACGTTCTGGGGCCTCAACATCCTCATCCCCATAAAATTAGACTTCATTTAAGGTTTGGATGTAAAGTGATGGGAACAGGACTGCTTGTGTTACCTGGTGTACATGTAGACATAAAAGCTGTAGGAGCATACTCGACACAGCCAATCAGAAAATTGCCACACTCCACCACTGAAGTAATAAGTCAGTCGCAGTGGGAGGGTGAGGGAGAAGAAGCTGTCCGATAGGGCGAGATTCATCATGACCACACAGGAGGTAGAGCATCTGGAGCTGAAAGCACGAAGACAGGGTTGGAGCAGCCATGTGGATTTTGACTATAAACATATTATATAGATTACTACACTGTGTTGGGCTACAGTTCTGCTCATGTCCACTAGGTGCTGCTGTGATCAGACTCTGTATAAAGTGATGCAATTGTCTTGATTGCATTGTTTGCGTTTGGAACATGTCGAGTCATTTCGACTTCACTAACGCACCAGAAACTGAGAAGCTCTCTCATCTCACTGTCTCGCCAGTGTTGCATCTTGCATGTTACAAGGAAAAAAATCGTTGTTGAACGTTGTTCCCATAATGTAAAAAACAATTGGTACACAAACGTTCATGACTATTTATGTGCCGCTGCTTGGAGTTGAATGTGCGTCATATCATCTTACAGAACAGGTGCATAAAGAAGCGGAAGACAAATTTACACTTTCAGATTGGTGTCATGTTTCCATCAATGACGACTGCAGCTGATAAATACTCGTGTCTACAGCAGAGTCATGTGACCAAGGTCAGAATGACTATTGTCTTTATTCACATTTTAGACATAAGCCAGATGTGAGTGGGTGTTAGTCGGTTTTTCAGTCTGTGGAAAGGGGCTTTAGACTCACAGATTAACTGATAGAATTTGGGGGTCAAAGGTGAACGCTCAAGGTTACAGTCGCATCAAACATGTTTTTAGCCTTTTGAAAAATGACAGCGCAAGAATTTCTTTTCACCAGTAGTCACTAGGACTCAAAAACAAACTGATCAGAGTTCAGTGTTCAAAGGTCACAGTGCTGTGACCTCATATTATTCTAGAAAAAAATGTATGTAGACAGAAAGTGTACTTGTTGGTTGAGGCGGGGATTCTAATTACAATATTTTTTTCAGCTATCCCAACTCGCACCTGAACCTCCACACACATAAAGCTTCTGCAGTTTGTTTTAACTTATCTGAGGCTCACCAGACTTTGTAAATCAAACACATAGTCATAAAAAAGACATAAACAAGAACTTTCCATTGATTTTCAGCAGCTAGATCATCAAGTAATACATAAGAGTATGACCACACTCAAGTTGAAGTCATATTTGCATGAACACATGTATCCCTGTATCCACCAACAAGTGCACTTCTGTCACTGTAGGTGAAAAATAATTATACCTCTCTCTATTTGCAACGTATCATACCAACATTTGATTTTACCGACGGTGGTTTATCATCCTTTACTTACATAAATACATTCCCAGTTCTTTAGGAATGTCACTGACCCTGCTTCATGTTAACAACCTCTGATCTCACTATTTGACTGAGTGGGGCAGGGCCCTGCGGCCTGTGTGTTTATGTGTGTGTTTGTGGAGCACACAGACACACACATTTTGCCTAAAAGATGTGAGCGATGCTCACTCCCACTCATTCCTCAGTAATTCACTTTTTGCCGCCCTTGGCAGTTGTTAAGTTCGTCTATATGGATGCACCGGCATTGCTGTGCTGGAGCAAACTTAGGTCCGCTTGTTTTTTGAGGGCTTCACAGGTTCAGGGCATGAATGAAAAGTCCTCACAGGAATAGAGATGTGTGTTTGTGTGTGTTTGCATGTTCTGACCTGCGGAGACTCTGCAATATGAAAACCACCAGTGCGCCAATGTTGCATAGAAAGGCAACAGGAAACACGACCAGGTAGGTGGCACAGTAGGCGTAGTACTTGAAGGACTCATCAGCATGCGAACATGTCAGCGAGTTATTATACATCATAGATGTGTTGTTCCCAATGGCGATAGCAAGAGTTTGTAGATGTGCTACAGAAAACACAAAGACATAATTAAAAGGTCTTGATTAATACAATTACTTAAAAACACATTTTGATTCCTGTGTGTATCGGAGCTGGGTTGATGTTAATTATTTATTTAACTCAATCTACCTTTTACTTTTTTATTCTTTAAGGCTGAAACATACTAGAGAACATATTTTTATTCCTTCAACATATTCTCCTGACAGTAAATGTGCCTCAGTTGTGGTCATAAAAATCCTACAGCCTTAATGATGCTCCAGAGTGTAGCTGTATCTTTATTTTCTAAATCTAAAATCAATACATTTTTAGATTTTTGGATTAAGGTCAACTGCTCTGAAAAAATCCTCTGTACATCAGCCCACTGATCGTCTTTATATACATTCACTGATCGTCTTCAAAGCTGGCCAAAAGTCAGAGAACATGTTTGTCAAGTTTTGTTTTCTTCTTGTTACATTGACACATAGGTTCTTCCTCGTCTCGCCTTCTTTGAACTTGTTTTTCTTTCTGATAAGTTTTTTCAGTTTGGATCTCTTTTTTTTTCATGTTTTATGAAATAAAGCAGAAACAGTTTCCTCTGAATCCAGGAGTCTGTAAAAAACTGTTGACGTGTCGGCAAAATGAATGCGTAGCAAGTCTTGCTGTACAACATGTCTGGGCTTGAACTGTGAGAAAGAAATGTAAAACTTTTAAAACTAGAATGCGAAAGTTGTCACTCACCGTTCATCCTGTCACAGCTTCACCACCATCTGTCCCTCTGTGTGTTCCCTCCGTTCTTCTTTATTTCTCTCCAATGTTTGGTCTTCAAATCATCCTGCACTAACATGTGTGGGTGTGTTAGATAAATCTGCTGGAATTAGACCAACACACACCCATCCAGGCACTAACACACACTCAACAGTTCATGAGCTCTAATATAAACAAATAAACTCTCATGGATTTTCCATAAATAGCAACATTTCAACCCATCTACAATCAGACCACCATCAGATTTCAGCTCTGACTAGTTATAATGAAAACAATAAAGATGCCATAATGATGTTATTAATCATAGCAGCAACCATTCAAATAATAATAATAATAGTTGTCATCCTGCAGAGAGAGAGAGAGAAAACAAATCAAAATCAGCTTGGATAAAAATGTTCTCAACTCGAAAAGAAGGCTAAAGAGAATAGATGCGTTTTTAACAATGAAAACAGATTGAGTGATCGTCGGTGTCAAAAGCAGCCGTCAGGTCTTAGAGCACCAGGATGGCACAGTCTCCTGAATCAGCAGTTATAAATTAGATGGTTAAAAACTCTCAACAGAGCAGTTTCAGTGCTATGACGAGGTTTAAAACCAGGACTCTCCAGGACTTTAGACAAGAAAGGCAGTTTAGAAATGGGCCTGAAGTTAGAAAGAACAGAGGGATCGAGACTTTCTTTTTTAACTAGGGCTACACAGCACGTTTGAAGGCAGCGGGACACAACCAGACAGAAGACAGGTGTTTATCAATGACAGAATACATGGTCCAACAGCGTCAAAGACTTCCTTAAGGAGACGTTTTGAAGAACAGACCTTTAAGAAAAGAATCACAGAGGACAGATGGAGTTTGAAAATGTAAACAGGAACCTGAGGCCTGTGAGATTTACTGGAGACCGAGTTAGATATAAACTCAGTTTCTGCGACGTGCGCACAAATTGACCATCGCTCAGAAAAGTGGCAGTTTGGTGGGTTTGATGCTCAAAGGACCAACAGAGTCCACGGTGCACGTGCAGGTGGAGTTAAAAAAGAGAAACGAGCTCATCAACACTGAGAACGTCACGATGACCGCAACCACTGACGTCATCAAACCTCGACCATGAGTGGTTCAGCACATGCGCACCGACAATGGTTGGAGCTCAAATGGAGAGAGCGCGTGTCGCCTTCTTCTGCTCGTGCACTGTGCTGCTGCTGCTCGCGCCTGCGACGGGTCAGTATGTCCGACACGAGTACACTGAGCTGAGGCGCGTGTTGTGGTAGTTAGTGGTAGTTAGTGGTAGTTACACCATAGTTTAACCAAACTCTGTTAGAAGTTGAGGCGGTAAACTACTTTCACTTTCACTCTGCTGGCGTCACTTCCTCAACAATGACGCAGGTCATTGAAAACACAGCGTCACAATCCCGAGAGGAGTGACGCGGTTTGATTTGTGGCTCCAGTGTTTCCTCTCCGCCGAAGATAGCCGCGGTTAAAGTGGCGGATGTGTTGGTGGAGTTCGGTGAGCAGGTGAAAAACCAAAGAGGAAATGTGAGAGTGAAATGTTCAAAGTGTTAATGAACGTAAAGATTTAATGAATCAAACTCGTAAGAGAGTAATAAAGAGAAAGGTAAATAAAAATGAACTGCTGCTGTTTATTCATACATGTCTATTTCAGAGTTAAACACAATCTTCAGCCCAAAGTTCACAACTTTTCAAGATTAAAGCATAACAGCAACAAAACAAACATTGAGGTTTTACTTTGAAACCTAATTGACCAACAGGAAGTGATTCTATCAATATGTATTATTGCTGGAGATCAGTACTTGTCAAGGGTCCGTCCTTCTGTGTCTCAGTCCGATGAAATAAAAGTATTTAATCATCTGATTGCGATTTTTGACCCACGGTTTGACCCAGATGCCGACCACTGCTGTAGTTCATCTGAGGACCTAGAAGAAGACATGTTCAACTTGGTCCACACACTCAATACACGTTGACCTGCCCCACTGCCACCTAGAGAGCGTTAAACATCTGTTGATTTAATTTGTATTAAAGTTTTAAGTATTATGTGTCAAGTGTGACGACCACAGGTCAGTGATTCTAGTTCTGCCTGATCCAATGTATATTTCCAGGTAAGCCTCTCGGGCCTGACTTACCTCTTCAAGTCTTTGTAGCTGTTGGTGAAGATGGCGTCCTCCCGTGTCGTTCAAACATCCTTGTCAACCCCTCACGTGTCACGTTGGAGTGGTCACGTGTGGATGGTCCGTCCACACGAACGCTTTATGTTCTCCGCGATGGACACGAGCTGGAAAGAGAGAAGTCAGCGGAGTACATTGGGAGGACGACGACAACGGGCGACGGCTCTCTGAAGCTGCAAAGAGTCAGTCGACAGGACAGCGACATCTACAGGTAAGTGATGGTATGTTGTATATTTTGACTCAGAGTCAGTTTATTTGCCACATACAACCTCCTGCTGTTACACGTTCTCGCAGAAACATGTCATGTTTATAAATCATCCTCTAACGTTGTGTTATTTCTTTCTGTCCATCCTCCTGATTCAGGTGCAAGGTTTTCAGCAAATCATCAGGAGAAGATGAAGTGTTTGTGTCTCTAGTTGTTGGTAAAGATGATCAGTGACTGTTTATAAAGATGATCACTAACTGTATTTATATAAAGGCGATCAGTGACAGGTGTGTTTGTCTTTAGTTGTATTGTCTGACGTCAACATCACTGTCCAGTGGACTTCATCCAATCAGCTGTTGGTTCAGTGCGAGTCCAGAGGCTGGAGCCCGGAGCCACAGATTGATCTGTTAAACACTGCGAGGGACGTCCTCCCTACTCAGAAAGAGGGACCATCACTGGGACCAGACCAACTCTACTCCTGTGGCGCACACCTGGACGTGGTGGCAGCCAATGGTAACGTGACCAAAACTCCAGAGTATGAGGAGAACAGGAAATGACCTCAGGAGCTCTTTGATTTAGTTTTTTGATTAAAAAAAAGTTACATCTAGAACAGTTTTCAGAACCAACTTCTATTGACGATTTGCTGATTCATAGAATTGTTGCATTAAGCAAAAAGAAAGACAAATCAATCTGTGGTATTGCCGTTGCTTGTTCCAAAAATCAAATTTGAATGAATTTGACATACACACGCACAATGTGCCCATTTTTTGTAGAAATAACAATCTACAAGTTGTTAAAAGAAGCTTTGTATAAACATCATCTCCAGCAGCCAGTGTTTCTCTTCAATGTCTATTAGAACTTTAATTTCAGATTTTATAAGAACATTTGTTTATTTTCTTAATTCAAGTTCTATATATTTGTCAATTAGTTTTTTCTTTTTGTCTGAAGTTAGTTATAAAACAATAAACCAGTTTTTAACATTTATTTTTGTCTTGTTGAAACAGTGAGTGGAACAGTGATCTGTCGAGTGCATATCCCCGGAAGCAGCCTAGGGCAGGAGCAATCGATTTCTGTCCCTCGTAAGTTTGTTGGCGGAAACATTTAGTTTTTCCAGTTATCTTAAAGACTCAAGAGGAACTACAAGTTGCCTGCACCTGGTTCACCTGCAGTCAGTGTTAAAATGTGTTAATGTAGCCTCTGATGAAATATGACAGCATCGATGTAATTTAATACTAAGTGTCACTTTCCACATGAAATATTGGTAGAAAAAAAGACAAGACTCACATGTTGTTTAAAAAGTAAAATGTCTCTTCCTCTGCTGCCATGTCAGGAGTGTCAGCTTTTACATATGATTGACATCACCTCTTATTTACACTGACTAATCTAGTTTATTTATTTATGTGATTTTTATTCCTCTATTTTCTCTGCTTATGTTCAAATGATTTTATTATCCATTTGATCTGTCTCATGTAACTTCTTCCTTGTAAAGCTCTTTGTAACATTCTTTAGAAAAGTATTGCATCAATGCAGTTTGTTAATATTATTATTATTATCATTACATTTACACTTTTCCCACATACATCCATGAGTCACCCACATTTGACTGAGACTGTTTTGTTGTTTGCAGATCACTTTCATCACATTTCAGAGAAGTCCCATAAATATTGGATCGCAATGTTAGTCCTGATCCCTATCATCATCATCTTTCTCTGGCTGCTCCATCACCGTGATGTTTTCACACACAACATCAACAATTTGAAGAGTTGGTGGTTGTTCACTGGTGGTAAGACTGTGGATCATAATTCACACATGTTGCCATGTGGGAATGGACATTTCAGCCCCAAGATCAGACCAGATCCAAATCACAGCCAAATCTTCTGGTTCGCCCCCTAGTGGCTGGTTGCAGTATAGGTCCCTGTTTCCATGTGACATGGACCAAACTCAAAAGATCGTCATGATCATCACATAATGAGGCTGTCTCTCTCTCTCTCTCTCTAAAACTAACTTTTCACGGTCCAAACATATATGAAAAGACCCCAAATTAACACTGCAAGTAGATTTTAGGAGATGTGCATGGCTCCCTGGGACTTGGTGACACTGTGCACCTTCTCCCTCGGGCTGTGGAGCTGTCCGTGGTCCCTGTTTTAATTAAAACCATGATGTTGGAATGGAAATAATGTTTTTTCAGTGCCTGAATATACCACTTACTTTATGGGGTCTGTGTTAGCAGTGAAACAACTTTATCGGATAATGCATGTTTTGCTAGTATCGTGCAGCCCTAATATATTTTGTCTTTGTTTCCAGGTGTTGACCGATACAAAGGTAAGATCTATTTTCAGTGAATGACATTAAATCTGTTTCATCTTTGCTGTCTCTGTGTTCCTGTTATTTGAAGTTCTGATGTTGTCGGTCTGTTTCAGCTCACGGAGACATCCTCAAGATGAAAACTACTGGAGCTTCGTCTCTCACAGTGAATGAGAATCGTGAAAACCTCATCGTCAACGGTGAGTTCACTTTGTTTTCTTCACCACATTAGGGTCAGCGTAGATGAATGAAGACAAAACTAGTTAAAATACAGATGAAAACAGCCTTTATGTAGATGACCTGCATGGGATGATCCTATCAGCTCCCTCTGAGAGGACCATGTGATCTGTGTTTGTTGTCACATTCCTGTGTCCAACTCTTGTTTCAGATAAACTGCTGACTGGTGAAGATGCGTCCAATGAGCTGGCGAGGAGAGACCATATGGAGATGATGAAGTACCAAGAGGACATCATCAGCGTGGCAGAGTCGTATGTAGCAACTCAAACCTGAAATATTTAAAATTGATCGTGTTCTATCAGATCAGATCAATGCGTCAAAGACAATGTGTGTCTCTTACAGTGAAAGTCTGAGATGCAACTGTTTGTTTAAAAACTGTATCTTCATACTCATAACTTGTGTTTGTAGATAAATGTGTCCGTTGTTGTTGTTTGCTGCAGACATAAAGTCCACCCAGCCCTGATCGCCGCCATCATCTCCAGACAGTCTCAGGCGGGAACCATACTGGATCCGAGCGGCTTCGGAAAGTACGACCCTAACTGCTTCGGCCTCATGCAGGTTTGACAGAAATAAAGAAAAATGTGGAGCCACAATCTGACTCTGTCCTCACAGTGCAGAGATGTGTTGACTGTTTGATTGTGTATCCTTGTGTTGCAGATCAATAAGTTTTACCATGAATTGAAGGGTAGCTCACACAGCAGGGAGCATTTGAACCAAGGAGTCATCTTACTCTTCAAGCTCATAGAGGCCGTGGGCAGGGTGAAGACCAGCTGGACCAAAGAACAGCAGCTGAAAGGTTAATACGTGGACGACTCCTCTCTGACAAGCCATGAAATTGAATATTTAATTGAATATGAATTCTTAAAAAATCAATAACGTGAATTACATTCCCCCCTAGTCTTTGTGTATAGTTACTTATCGTCTTTAAATACAGTCACTGATCGTCTTTATGTACAGCCACTAATCGACTGTATGTAAGGCTTCTCGCCATATCAGACCAAACATCTACATCCTGACGGGAAATGTTGAACTTTTCTTTGAAGTTGTGTGATAGTGTTTGTGACGTTGTTCAGAGGTGTTATATAGTTATAGAAATAGGTTGGATATATTCATCTTTTTGATGTTAACAGGAGCTTCACTGTGTTTCAGGAGCATTGGCTTGTTACATCTCAGGTGAGGACAAAGTGCTCCCTCTGACTGATTCTGAGGAAGTGGACAGTGTGACGCCACACAAGGACTTCGCCAGTGACGTGCTCGCCAGAGCAAAATGGTTCGCCAGTAACGGCTTCGGAAAGTCTTAAGATATGTATTGCACAAAAAGTTTGTGGTTTTCATTCTGCATTCACACCAAACACAAAGCAAATTTCCCTGTTACTCGCACGAGTTTGGCTGCAGGACCATACAGCATGTGTTTGCTCTTGCAAGCAAAACCGAGTGAACACAACCATTGAAAATTCACCCGTTCTCTGGAGAAGTGGAGAGGACTACTGGCTAAATGAACTACTGTTGCTGCATTGTACCTGTTGTGGAAACGCAGGAGAAGCCAGGGCTATCGTGTGTGGGTCCTCAAAAATTTGCTCAGTGTTTGGTGTGATTTCACCATAAATCAAAGTGACATATTTCTTTAGTTTGTCCCTGAATCACACTGAACTTTAACTGAAATCACATGAAAGTCAGGGCTTGTTATTTAAACGATCGGCACCACAGAGGACGTAACGCGATGAAGTCGACTGACAGAAAATTAAGTCCAAGTGCTGAAATGTGTGCAAACTGTTACAGTGACGCAGTGTTATAACTTATGTATCAAGTGTTATAGTTTTTATGAACCTTTGGAGGTATCTCCATTGTGTTTTATACATTATTATATTGTTTATTCAATTTTATTTGTGTATTTTTGTCTTATTGTGACCTTGTGTTTAGTTATAGAAAAATGAGTTAATTCAAGTTGCTGAAATGTTGAGATGATGACTGAATGTTTTCATAACCACCTCAACCAGCGTCCTTCAGTAATGTGTCATATCTGTTATTATTCTGTGTCCTGAACACTAGCTCCAAAGTTTTTATCGTTTTCTTTACACCTTTTGCTTAAAGTGATTTATTCACCGTATATTTATTCATTTAAATTGAACACGACCTTGTTTCCGATCTAAATGTGGTTGTCTTGCCTGCTTGTCAAAAAGTGCTGTTGAAATTATCATTACAACTATTCGCTCCTTTAAAGAATGTTGTTGACGTCATTGGGTTCTATGGATGAAATTGAACTGTAATTGAAAAACTTTCATCAACAAAATCAAAAATCTGCGTTGGCCGGGAATCGAACCCGGGTCAACTGCTTGGAAGGCAGCTATGCTAACCACTATACCACCAACGCGATGATGCTAGGTGCAATGACGATCAAACTAACAAAGTGACGTGTCTTATTACTTAAAGATAATTTATATCGTTGGATTTGTTTGCTAATTTAGCTGTAAAGCTAATATGTGGTATCGACACGCTAAGGCAGAGGAAGTCAGCCTCTCATTGGACGGCTGAGGTAAGGTTAGCTACTCTGAGCTGAACTATCGAGCTGGAGAAGTTCATGTAGCTGCTCCATTAGCCGCTCAGCTAACAGTGTTGTTAGCATCACACGTAAGCATCACACGCTAGCATCACGCTAGCAGGCACTGCGGGCCACGCCGTTAGCTTCAGCCGCACATGTATGAAAGCTGATGTCTGACACAGCGACGTCCAGGTGACGTGTCACCGGAGCCGATGGGCGGACAATACTGACGCCGCCTGTCCCGCGTCGCGGCGGCTCCGGTTTTAAGGCCCGGAGGAGCGAGAAACGATGGGGAGATTAAAACCCTGCAGTGACTCAAAGAGGTTCCGTTTTAAACACGACATAGAGAACCGCTGTCATGTGGTCATTATGGTACATCCCACTGCTGTCCACTAGAGGGCGACATTTAACCATCGTAGTAAAAAGTGAACGAGGATTTTAACTTGACTATGTATAAAGACAGTTAATGACTGGATATATAATATATATATATATATATATATATATATATATATTTGAACGATTTTCTGGAAATTGTACATTATTTTAGTTATTGACGCAGTAAAATGTACAAAATGAAATGTTAAACATCTTTAATTAAGAAAATAAATATATCCAGAATAACTTAATTAGATAATGTGTATATATAAACTGTATGTATATATAATATATATATATTATATAACATAATATATATATATATTATATATCTGTCTCTCTTTCGACTCCCAGCAGGCAGCCAATCACACCGCACGCGCGCAGCGGCACGCTGCCACGGGCGCCGCCGACAGCTACACGCACACACTTACTTATGCACACACATTCACACACTCAGTCACATACTCATACACTTACACACGCACACATACACGCACACATACACACTCTTCTCCGTTACTGCACATCATCGTCGCGTGCCCCCCCCCGTCGTGAGCATGTCGCACGTTTCCATTCACCCCCCACCCCCCCTCCTATGGTGATGTGAGTCTATGTGTGTATATGCATGTGTGTGTGTGTATATATATGTGTGTGTTTGTGTGTGTGTGTTTGTGTGTGTTTCCTCGAGCTCGTCTTTTTTTCCCGCCCCTGCAGGGTCTTCACTCCCCCCCTCCGCGCGCCGCCTCACGCTCGTGCCAAACCCAGGTGATTATCCATCCGCCCCCCCTGTTATCCATCACCCCCCTCCTCCCTCCCTCCTCGGTACCGACAAATCCCCTCCCGGTGCTCCTCACCCCCCTCTCTCACCCCACCACCCCCCTCTCTCTCTGTCTCCTTCCCGCCAGCCATGATCCGTGGCGGGCTAATTCCCAGACGGTCTTCTCCTTCTTCCTTCCTCCTCTTCTCCTCCTTCCTCCTCTCCTCCTCCTCCTCCTCCTCCCGGTAAGTAGCATCAGCAGCACGCGCCGTCCATCTTCTCCTCCTCCTCCTCCTCCTCCTCCTGTCCTCCGGACTGCATGCTGTGTTCACGGTATTTATCGGTTCTTATCGGTTTTTATCGGATCTGTTTTTAATAATCTTGACACCCCCCCCCCTCCCTCCATCCTCCCTCACACTGTGCCTCAGGGGCGGAGGGAGGGGGGTGTTAATGTGTCGCGTGGGAGACCCCCCCACCCCCCCACCCCCTCGCGGCAGTGGCCACCGTGACCTTCTGTCGGAGCTCGCGCCGCCCGGTTGACCAGACGGGGTAATTAGTTCCGCCTCGAGGGAGCGTTGGGGGGGCAGCGCGTGCGTATCTCACGGAGCGCGTGCGTGTCTCAGTGGGTACGCACACGCTCAGTGCAGAAACACACTCCTGCTCTTTCTCCTTCTACACATGAACACACATTGTGTTATACTGTCTTTCACATGCACACACGCACACACGCACATGCACACATTTGTCATTGTGTGCATGTGTGTGTTTTCTGGTGGGAGACATTTGAGATGTTTGTTGGAAAGTGAATATGATGACCTGGTTTCTGTGAATGACCCTGACTAACAGAGCGCCCCCTGCTGGACACGCAGAACAGCTCAAAGTTTGATTCAGTTGGACTTTAGCTGGAACTTGACGTGTTTTCAGACATGAACCCTCGGACATTTTTGGTCTTTCATGTATGAAAAACGACACCAATATCATTGTCACGTTAAGATACACGTTAAGTGTGAAGGATTGAGTGAACCACGCTTTCTACGTTCACATGTGAAACACCTGTGCTTCGACCTGGGTGAACTTATTTATTACAACCAACTGAGCCCCGAGAACACGAAGACTCTCAAGATGCCTTCAGACATGAACTCTGGAGAATTTCTTCCCATGTGAAGAAGCAGCAGGAGATTGTCCGGGTGAGACTCGTTCATAGGAACAATGTAAGTGGGGAACATCAGGCGAGGGGGTGACGTCATCATGGTTCCAGGTTCAGTGTAAGTTGAGTCTGAGGTGCCGTTCTCCTGCGGCGATGTCACAACAGCAGCATAACAAACTTCATCACCTTCCTGATTCTGGTCTTTGTTTTCATTCACAGATCAAGACGAGTCAACCACACAGGACTGACTGCTCCCTGACTTCCTTTGTGAGCAAGTGTGTGCGTGTGTGTGCATGTGTGCGCACAAGTGTGTGAGGTCATGTCGGGCATGACGAGCGGCGTGTGTGTGGAGAGCGACCTCTCCTCAATGCTCCAGAGAAGCTCCGCCCCCTCCCACCATCACCCGAATCACCATGTTTACGGCGGCCAGGGGCAGGTGAGTCGTCCCTGAGTCAGATCAGAGGTCACGTGATCCGCTCGAGTTGACGCAGCTTCACTCTCGCGGCTCTCATCGGCGTTGTTCATCTGTGAACAGACACAGACAGCAGCTGGTGAATATAGTGAAACATTAACAGCTAAAGAGGAAGTGGAGGAGACCAAGTGCAGAGAAACAAGAGAGAGAATTCAAACAGAGAAACAGGGAACAAAGAAAACCAAACGTCTTCTTTTGCTGTTTTTCTTTCCCATTGGTCAAAAAAACCCACGAACATCTGGCTTTTGGCTGCGATGTGAATGGAAACATTCTGCGTTCTCTTCGGGGTCAAATGACTGAGTGGTTAACCCTCTTAGCCGTATTTAAACGTGTCCTCTGAACAAACATGTCTGCCCTCAGTTTTAGTTTGTGGAACCGACAGCATTTCCGATTGGATGCTGATCATGTGTCTGTTGCAGGTGTCAAGTTTGGCTCCGATGCTGGATTACACCACGGAGATGGACCGCTACCGTTCATCCATCGCCAACTTCTACAAAACCAACGTCAACATGAACATGAACGTCTCAAACTTCCCTCAGTCTGCCAAGCTGGCGGCCCGTTTGGCGGCGGCGGCCCCCATCTTCCCTCCTGCCGCCGCTGCCAGGCTGGGCACCATGGCGACAGCGCCTTGGGGCTGCCACGACAACATGAACATGAACCACCCAGCTGCCATGTTCTGGAGCCGGCCCAAACCTGTGGCAACTGCGCCAACGCATCACCACCACCATCACCACCCTTCTGCGACGCAGGGTCACATGACCTCCCCACACTCCCACAGTACCAGCATGCACCACGGCGGCGGGGGTTCAGGAGGGGGATCAGGGGGAGGTGGAGGGAGTAGTGAGGGGGGAGGAGCTGAAAAACATGGACACACTGCCTCCTCACTTCCTGTCACACAGGGAACAGCACACCATCACTCCATGGCGCCAAACAACGCAAACTTTCTCCCTGGTTACAGCGGCGGTGCGGAGTGCGGCATCATGAACAAGCAGGGACATGCCCACCCAGACATGATGAGCCTATCAGAGGGTGGGAGCTGCAATGGAGGAGGAGTGATGGGTAGTAGCTTCTTGGGGGGGCTGGGATTACCTCCTGGGGTCATTGTCATGGCGATGGGGTCGGCAGGGGGCGGGATCTCAGATGCTGGCAGCGCCTTCCAGATGACAGGTGGCCAGCGGGCGTTAACGGACTGCCAGCAGCACACCAACTCCTCCCCCTGCCCCTCCTCCTCCTCACCGTCATCGTCAGTGGTGACAGCAGGGGGCGTGGCCCTATCTTCATCGTCTTCTTCTTCATCGGGGGCGGTGGCCAAGAGGAAGAGGAAGCGGTGCGGCGTGTGCGGGCCGTGCAGGCGGCTTATCAACTGCGGTGTCTGCTCGTCCTGCCGCAACAGGAAGACGGGTCATCAGATCTGCAAGTTCAGGAAGTGTGAAGAGCTGAAGAAGAAACCAGGGGGAGGTGGGGGGGCACTTGAGGTGAGGACACACACACACACCCACTGACCACGGACACACCTGGTGTTAACATGTAGTTTCTCTCATCTGACGTGTGAAGGCATCAAATCAGATATAGAACTGATCACACCAGACCACTTTCTGTCTGGGACACGTTTCCACACTCAGCTGCAGTTTCACTATGAACTGACAACTTTTTCTCTTATCTTTGCTCATAAGCTGATTTGTTTATGGCCATCGCCAAAATATCCAACACGGAACACAGCATTGTGACTGGTGCTTTTGTGGTGAAGCTGCTCTCTCTCTCTCTCTCTCTCTCATGACACATGACATACATGTTAATTTGCATGTAGAGCGGAGACGTGGGATCCGAACACAGGAGACACGAGACACATTCAGGACAAATGTTATTGCCAGGTGTGAACATACTGACTTAGTGCTGGCCACTCGAGATCG